TATGGTAATATGGACCTCTTAAGCTTAGTGTAGACAGAGTTCAGGCTTTTTAATACATGGCAGCCATCCTCGATCCTTTTCCATTTTCATCAGTTTTGTTTCTTCACTGTAGGGGTATATCTACACTGCCTCCCTAGTTCGAACTAGGGTGGCTAATGTAGGCATTCGAACTTGCAAATGAAGCCCAGGATTTAAATATCCCGGGCTTTATTTGTATGTTCCCAGGCACCGCCATTTTTAAATGCCCCGTAGTTCGAACTCCCTGCCTGTGGCTACACGTGGGACGGACTAAGAAGTTCGAATTAAAGCTCCTAATTTGAACTACCGTTACTCCTCCTGCAATGAATGAGTAATGGTAGTTCGAATTAGGAGCTTTAATTCGAACTACCTAGTCCGTGCCGCGTGTAGCCGTGGGCGGGGAGTTCGAACTATGGGGCATTTAAAAATGGCGGCTCCCGGGAACATGCAAATAAAGGCCAGGATCTTTAAATCCCGGGCTTCATTTGCAAGTTCGAATGCCTACATTAGCCACCCTAGTGCGAACTAGGGTGGCAGTGTAGACATACCCTAGGTCCTTATGCTGAGGTGTAGTTTAGAGAAATCAATGATGCTTTTGTTGCTAGAATTCATTGTCCCTTTTATTTTGAAGAACTGTCTCCTTGGTATAGTGAGAGTCAGGAAAACTGGACTCCACTTCTAATTTTGCCACTGACTTTGTATGAATTTGAGGAAGTCAATTCTCCTCTCTCTTCTCTCTGTTGTATCTAGTTAGACCATAGGCTCTTTAGCATATATGGACTACCTCTCACATTTCTGTACATCAGGAAGTACAAATGGAATCTCAGTCTTGGTTCATGTCTGTAGATGCTATTATAATAATAATAGTGATGATGATAATCATAATAAACAATCATTTAGTCCTTCACACTTACAATATTCTAACCAAAATAGTTTTGTTGGGAGTTTTATAGCACTGCTTTGGCATTGTTACAATCTTACAGAATCAAGAGTTCACATACACTTTTCTTAAAGAAATTGATGAGCTCTTTGCTTTCTGTGCCAGCCAGGATGTCTCGAGTTTTTACCTTTCTGTTTCTTCACTAGTTCTCTAAATAGTCCAGGCTGTGGCCAGCCAGCCTTTCATGGTTTCTTGATTACTGCTTCTTAAAATTCATCTGTGGCTGCAGTAAGTTTAAAAGCATTTTCCACATCTGTCTCTACATGCCCTGGCCCATCGATCTAAACCACCAATCTGGTTTTCCACAGCTGTCAATTTTGCTTGTCTGGTTTCCACTCTGGATTGTAGGGAGGAGAGCAGTGACTGCACAAGGTCCAGTTTTCCGTTCATTGTCTTACAGTGAGCTGTCAGGATTTGGCGGGGTTTCAGAAACTCCTCCATTTGGAGTTTTTTTTTTCATCTTGGCATTTTCAATGTTCCAGGGGCCTCTGAGGTAATGAATATGGTTAGTTAGATGGAAAGGTCGGGTGAAGGTTACCAGTGCTAACTCAACATGTGATGAGAGATCCTGGGGGCTATGCAGTTGTGAAAGGTGGAAGAGAGGATGTTGGCTCCTGCTTCCACTGTGATGCAAAGGCACCTGGTAGGACATGGCAGCTGCTGTGGGCCTGGTGATTCTACTCCAGTACAGGAGAGGAGCAAAAATGACAATGACTGCTGCCCTGATGCATAGTGAACCCAGAGGGGCTGTGTCTACACTGGGCCACTTATTCCGGAAAAGCAGCCACTTTTCCGGAATAACTTGAAAGCTGTCTACACTGGCCGCTTGCTTTTCTGGAAAAGCAATGACGGTCCACTGTAAAATTGTCAGTGCTTTTCCGGAAAAACTATGCTGCTCCCGTTCGGGCAAAAGTCCTTTTCCAGAAAAACTATTCTGGAAAAGGGACAGTGTAGACAACACAGTAGTCTTTTCCGCAAAAAAGCCCCGATCACGAAAATGACAATCGGGGCTTTTTTCCGGAAAAGCGCGTCTACATTGGCCACGGACGCTTTTCCGGAAAAAGTGCTTTTCTGGAAAAGCATCCTGCCAATGTAGACGCGCTTTTTCCGGAAATACTTATAACGGAAAACTGTTCCGTTTTAAGCATTTCTGGAAAAGGGTGCCAGTGTAGACACAGCCAGGGAGTGTAACTAGCAGTTACTACCAATGCTGATGCTTCTACCCCAGTGTACAGCTGGTGTAGGAGTAGGCAGAGGATGGCAGCAACTGCTGGTGCTGTTATTTTGGGGCCATATCCAAACCCTGGTGAAATTATTAGAAAGACTTCCCTTGACTTCCTTGAGTGTGGGATCAGACTCCAGGGTGGGTGTAGGAGGAGAGAAGTTTCGTTCTAATTTGCACCACTGAATAGATTTATCTGGCTCTGTTCTTTCCAGAGCATCATCCCCGTTTTATATTTTCACTCTTACAGGATGCTTTGACAGCAAAGATTATTGTACTGCCCTCTTCCTTCCCTCTTCCCAGCATCCATCAACGTTCTTCTCTGATGGGAGGACAAGACAACGGTTTTTTTCTACAGCAACCACTAATATTTTTTTGTAGCTTATCCAAGCCCAGTGGGAGTAAATGTGACCTGTGTTTCCCCATTTCTCAAAAGATTAGCATGTCACCCTTGCCCTGGGCTCTGTCCTCATGGGGCTGGCTAGCAGGTGCACCTTTTACCAAGATGTTTCACATAACTAGAAAATGGGCCTTGGTTCTAATATAGCTCTGCATAGTGAATAATTGTAAACCAAGCAAATGTTGAATGATGGCAAGAACAAACTTTCTCTGTGGTTTACTCTTTGGTACCAGGGATGGGACACTTGTTCTTTCAGATCATTTATGACTATACTGTGGGGGGAAGAGGGAGGAGGGAAAGGGGGACGAGTACTTTTGAGTGAGTAAAACTGTTGGGAAAAAGTTCTGTCGGGCAGGATATGTTTCTTATGTAAAGAGTAATCTGAGTGCAGTTCATCTTGCATTTAGAAAGTCTAGGCTCATAACTGTAGCACCTTAGAGACTGACAAAAAATATATATACAGATTGGATCTCCCTGGTCCAGCCCCCTTGGGACCTCACTGGTCCCAAATGAGGGGATTTGCTGGACCAGGGGAGGTCCTTCCCCGCATGGCCCATTTAGAACCCCACTGCCCCCCACCCCGGCTAGGGCTCCAGCCCAGGCCCACTGCTGCCTGCCTGGACATAGGTCCCCGGGCTGGAGCCCCCTGGCTGCCACCGGGGCCAGAGCTCTGTGGCTGGCACTGCTGGCACCTGAGCTCCATGGATGGAGCTGGGGCTGGCCACACCGCTACTGCCTGATCACTGGGGCCAGAGCTCCCTGCTGCACCACCTGCTCCTTGCCCCTCCCGACATGGGCTTCCCCCTGCCCCATGGCCAGACTTCCCTATACATGGGCTCTGTGATCCAGGAACATTCGTGGTCCTGTCAGTACAATGTGTAGAATCATGAGCTTTCGTGGACAAAACCCACTTCCTTAAATAAGCAGGTGAAGAGAAAAGGGAGGATCCTCACAATTATTAACAGAAAAAGAAGGGGGAGGGGAGAGGGAGAGCTCATGATACTACATCTATATTATCTAAGATGCTATAGGACTTCTCATTTTTTAAGTTACAAACTACAGGCAGTCCCCGGGTTACGTACAAGGTAGGTTTGTTCTTAAGTTGAATTTGTACGTAAGTCGGAACTGGCGTCCAGATTCAGCCGCTGCTGAAACTGACCAGTGGCTGACTACAGGAAGCCCGAGGCAGTTTCTCTGCCCTGGGCTTCCTGGAATCAGCCGCTGATCAGTTTCAACAGTGGCTGAATCAGGACGCCTGGGACAGAGCAGCTGGGGCGCTGCCGGGTTGGTCCAGTAGCGCCGAGGAGCGGCGCGGCGGGGCCCAACCCGGCAG